GGCTAACACTAACCATACAACTGCTAGTACTTCTTACTATTTCATTATACTTGGTTACAAAACTGCTATGCTTGACTGTTCACTCGTTTTTATCGCTTCACCCTTCATGTGCCCTCATGGCATCGTTTTTTCTTCTTTCCATGCCCTGCAAAGAACAAAATAGGCCTGGTGTAACAGCTCGCGTTGATCGCAACGGGCAAAGCGGTTCCTAATCTTTGAGTACCGAAAGTGTAGCGGCCAAGGTGCGCGTCTGGAAGACCAGAGGTGCGGATTCGACCCACCGCGATGGCCGCCTCCGCCGCCGGGGCGAGAGGCAGGCGACGCCATATAACCTCTGTAGCTGAGTGCGTCGTAAAGCTCCGATCGCACCCACAATGAGTCGTTAAATTCAGCAAATGGGGCTTTAATCTCTAGCAATTCTGCACGCATCAACGGCAAGCACAAGGCCCTCGCCATGCATGGACAAAGGCGTCTCCTCCTGCGCGCCATGAACAATGTTAAAAACTCGAAGGACACCGCGCGTCAGCGGGTGGCGGACAGCGCCTCGCACGCGGCGCACGAGAAGTCGACCCGCCGCCGTGTCAAAACGGACGTGTGTCGGTCTGGCAGCTCGCACCGTCTCGTGGCAGACACACCGCCCACTCGCGCTCCCGCCCGCCGAGCTGGAGCAGGCCGGCGATGCTGTGGCAGATGTTGCTGAAGCGCGTGCGGTGGCGCACAGTGCACCAGGCTACGGTCGGCCAGAAGGGGTCGTGTTGGTTTGCTGGCCTTGGACAAATGTTTAATTCGAGTGGCTCCAAACAGGAATAATAGTTGATATAACGTGCAATGACGTGAACTCATGATATATCCCGAGATTTTCGCTTGATGGTCATTCATCTAAACACATGTGGATGCTAGGAGGATCAATGTAGTTTTGTTATGTTTATTTGTTTTTAGCAATTTCGTCCCAACCTTTTGAATGGAGTCTTTGTCGAACGATCGATCCGAACTTTTTGAAATAGAAGAGTCTCTTTGGTCGGGTCTTTTGTTGTGTTGTGCTGCTTGGACTGATATCATATAAGCTTTGTGAACAGAAAGGATGCAGTCTGTGCAAACTCTGTGAACAGAAAGGTTGTAGTCCGTGCCCGTGCGAAAAAATGCGTCCCCGACCGTAGTACAGTGCATTTGCACTTTTTCCTGTTACCGAACGTGTGTACATGTATGCTGCACGCGCAATAAAGCGCTAAAATTGTAATAATTTTCATGGTTTGGAAAACCGAATTTGAATGTGTGAGACTGGGCAATGCAATAGCTTCAGGCGCTGGAAGTGACTGGGAAATGCTGGCCGAGATTCCGACTCATCTTTTCTTCTCTCTCACATTGCTGCGTTCTAGGTTAACGGCTTAATCATTCATTGGTTACAGCAATCTACTATGACGATCTTCCATTTTCCTCTAGTTTTCATGCAGATTGCCCAAGTTTCAGTTCTATGGTACAATGTGCAACGCCTTACTGTGCCCCAGCCGGGATTTCGACCAGGCGGACCCAGATCAGTGAGAAGATGCGCTCTCTCTTTGTCGCTATAGGGCTCTGCTTTTACTCGGATGACCTTTCTCGTCTCGCGGTCCTATTTTGATGCACTTTTGATGCACTGATGTCTTTATGGTTTGAAATCTTTAGAGCATCTCAAACTTGAAAAAAATACATAAATTGACAACTCCATGGGAACCCAGCCACCCCGGGGGGGGGGGGGGGAGAGCAGGGGCATGGCCCCAAAAGCCTGTCCTTGAATACGCCACTGAACCTTTAGATTATTTATATTCGTCAATTCCATTAGCGCAGGTAGTAAAAGCGACTGTCTTCCTGTTCACTCACTATTGACGGGGTGGGTCAGAGCGACTTTAGGCACTCGTTATTACCATACCGCAGACCATCCCGGACTGGGACGGTCTGCGGCCGGTAAAAGCGGCCGCGCTGAAGGTCAAATGACGTCAGAGGTCAGGACGGGCCACGCCGAGCATTGCGAAACGTTAAGCTTTTGCAGCCGAGATCACGTTTGGCCTGACTCTGTGGAACTTCTGTCTGCATGCAAGATGAAAGAATATTCCCTGAGCGGATCGCAAAGAGCACTGGTCGCCATCATTTCGACCCGACGGCGAGAATAAAACCGGTCGAGCTCCGTGCTCGCGATCTGACTCAGGAGACACGCCGTCAGGAGCGACAATTAGACTCGAGGGACACTCCATCAGGAGCGAGCTCATGGCCATTGTGTTCCCAGCTGGTTTCGAAAAGACGGTGCTTATCTGGAACAAGCTGGAGCCCTTCATCAACGAGGTTTGATACTGTTTTCCAACACTCGGGCTTGCGAGCAGAGTGCCAGCGGCTTGTGCGTGTTCATGCCCAGGTCCCGCAGAACCCTTCGCGTGGCTAAGTGCAAAAGATGCACTAACTGTACACAACTTATCTAAAACGCGTAAATTTTGCGCGGCTTCTCTGACAGCTGTAAACTCTGAAAGGTTTTGTCAAAGTGAAGTGTAGAAGCAGTCTTCAAGTCGTGCAGAATAAGCATAAGCCCGTAGATAACAGGGAATATGAGCTGCTCACGAACGAGAGGCATGTTAAATTATCTCACGCCCGGGAAATGCAATATTCATTAAATCCATTGCAAACCAAAATATTGCGGGAGGTTTAGCCGGGGGTTTCCGTTTCCAAGCACACAACACACCTGCATATCATCAAGCTGCAGCCTGTCATATGAATTGAGGCTCATCCCCCTCCCGCAGCTCCAAATCAATGTCGCCAACGCTACGCCGGCCCACATCTGCGTGGCCGCGAGTAAGATCCGCCGGAAATGAGCTGATCACCATCTCCAATTTATCTCGCTGAGAGCCAGTGATAGGGGAGCCAACCACGAGGTCTGATGCCCGCCTCATCAGTGGTTTTTCCAGCATGCCGTCCGTCGTCAGCAGACACCGTGTTCACCTTCGCTGTGCGCTACCGGGGATTTCTCCAGCAGCGGCGGTCTGGACTGTCTCCGCGAGGTCAATTTCCTCGGCATGACCGATGTCACCCGGCCTATGTATGGGGATCAAGTTCGACAACAAGATCAAGATCGGTTGATTGCGGAAGTAAAGAGGGGTTTGTCTTGATGTACGGGATGTTATCAGTGAGTGGCATTTCAACGTAGCATGAGCGTCGCCCCACTATCAAGCACTCGCTCCAACACGATGAAGACTCATCAACTCTTAACTCCAGCCTCACAGCTGACTGTTGGAGGACTGACACGGCCTCCCTGGGTCGCAACTTTAACTTACCACCAGCATACGCTGAATATTGACACAATACTGTTGTTCGAATGAAAAACGCACCCCGACTACATCGTGCAAAACAGATGTGTACCATGATCAGCTTAGTTGATATGATGATGATGACGACGATGCTGATGCTGATGCTGATGCTGATGCTGATGACAATGACGACGAATTCGACGACGATGATGATCATGATGATGATGGTGATTAAATAGGTGACCCTCCGCCGTCGCCAGCTGACGAAGAGCTGTCGCCGTCCGTATCGCGCAGCCACCATGCCTGGGACCAGCGCGGCATGCCCTGCCATCTGGTGGGCGGCTTGAAGGCGGTGATTGGCCGGTCTCCATCAGGCGGCGGTCGACTGCTCAGGTGACCGTACGACCCCGCGGCCAGCACCGTCTTCTGTGGGATCCAGCGGCTGCGGACCGCGACCGTCGCGTCCATGCGCTCTCGGCTTGGTAGGGTTATGACGGTGCCGAGATGGCGTTGGCGATGGCGTAAAGCACTCACTCGGTCTGCATACAACGCTCCGTTATTCGCCCAGTGCACACGCAGAGAGGAGTGTTGTCCATATTCCAAAGACTGGGAGGTAATCTCTTCCCACTTCTGCTCGTCAACAGCTGCGTCATATGGCGTCATGCCCTGTCGCGAACGCAGCATGTTCTCCCAGCTGTAAACTCACAAAAATGGCGATGCAGTGCAGCCTGCCAGGCTAGGGTGCAGGTCATCCTTATGCAGTCAGACAAGTGAGGGCTGTACTCGTTCGTTCCAGCCATCTTTATCGATGACATCCGTCTGACCGGTTTGTTAGTACCGGAGGTTTCAGGTCGGGAGGTGCGCTCCACCCCGGCCAGGTACTGGAGGATAGCAAACACCCCAACAAAGCTGCATTGAAGCTGCGCGATACCGTCCCATCCACTCAAGGACCCCAGTGCCCAACATTTGTCACAGGCTGTCTGCTGCCCTTCCTGAAGACGACTTTGGGAACGCGAGCACGTGTGTCAACACGTAGTAGCCGGAACCAACAGATGCGTTTTAATCGGCGTGCCATGGGAATCCAGATAAGAAGATATATAAAGCAAACCTGCTCATGGCAGACGTCTAGCCATCGCCCACAAAGGTGAGACATCACATACCAAGTGCCAACAAGGGTCGGTGTCAGCCAGCATCAGTGCCAGTAACCACCCAGCACCAATACCAGTGTCAGCCAACATTAGCACCAGTGTCAGCCGGGGATTACGAGTGCTACTCAGGATGTGTTTACAACTTTCCGCTGATGTCAAAACTAACAAATCATGTAGAGTTTACCTCTGTTTTCTGATCAGAAAGTTAAAAAAGTATATCCCTAGGGTTGTTAACATGTGGCACGCGCTCGCCTCTGGCGCCCACAATCCTATTTCGACAGGGATGAGCTGTAAGTCTTGCCATTCGCATAACGCTGCCTGTTGCCACTAAATCATTACCTATTCGTAATGTCGTGTCATCCCTAGTTTGCACGGGCACTGGCCTGTTGCTGACATTTTTCTACAAACGACTTTGTCACGTAAGCCCCACGTCGTTCCGCAGTCCGTTATTTGACTCGGTGAAGACCTCGGCAGTGATGGCATTATGATCCGACAGTCGCAACTGATTCCGGAACATCTTTTTCAAGCATGGAAGTCAGACCTCCTGGCGGTTGCATCACGAGTTTGCGTTGGCCACAGATCTGGGCGCCGTGATCACCATGAAGCTCCTGCTGGCTGTCGTGCTGGTTGGAGCGACGTCCGCTTTGGTCGAGAGAACTGAGTGGGAGGCTTATAAAGAAAAATACAACAAGGTCTACGCGAACCCAATCGAAGAGCTCCACAGAATGAAGGTAACGAAATAAACTGTGATCTGGAGAATACCTGCGCATATCAACAGGATGTCTGATACGCGACAACGAGCTCGGAAAGCAGCCGATGCAAATACAATGTGTACTTGATGAAACAGTTTTGAAGATGAGCTAGGTCGACATGCATTCTCACTTTGATGTATTTGCCGATTTGGCTATGACATTCCATTGTATTTAGCCCACAGCAAGGCGAAGGCTTCGCGTGCTGAAAATCACAGCATCTGCTCCTAAAACAAGCTGACAATTTATATTGAAGTTATCCTTGGAAGTCACTGCCCAAAGCTCGGTCAAGGAATTCATCCTATAAATAGGTCTCACCACTTTGATATTTTCAGGAGTGAAAATATTTCGTTAAACCCGCTAGAAGGAAGAAACAGCATAGAAATTATAACCAGCATGCTTTAAAGCTTGCAAAAGTTACGTGTCACTGGCATGAAGTCGGGTCACCGTCGGCCCTTTTTTGAGAACTTCGATCAATTTTATAGGACGTTGATGGCCAGATATGACGAGGATCATGGCATCTAGCATAGACTCTATATTGCGACCACAACTTTGATCGTGGTCAAGACCATGAAACCCAATAATTTTTGGTGCATCAAATAAGTGTGAACGATTCGTCGACATTCAAAAACTTGCTGTTCACTATGACAAAAGCAACTCATTAAAGAAAATGTTTCACTTTGAAGATATTAAAGCAAGCATCAGATATGATGAAACTAGCCCACTTAAGACTATTGGCATACTTTTAAACAGAAAAGACTACTCCGGACATCACAATATATATGTTTAGCATACACACCCCTTGCTACGTCATTGTTCATGACATGTTGGGATTTGGATGATGTTATTATGACGTCATGAAGGCCAGGGTGATTTCAATACTCTTCCCGAAGCACTCTCCCTATTTTTGCGGACGTCTAGCTCAGGACCTTAAGGGGTTTAGGTCTTAAGAAGGGGTGGGCTGTGAACTACACCGAAAAGTCTTCATGGTGGCTATTTCAGTTAAAAAACCCATATAAATGTGTAACACTCCCCTTAATATGATGCAATTAAAAAAACAGCTTTAAGTCACACCTTGAGGCACAAGGATTCCCAAAGGTCATATGAGCTTAGTGTAGCCTTGAAACCTCGGGAGCGTACCTGACAGCCTATTTCAGCACCGAGTTAGTCACTGTGGTCAGAGTTTCCCGCCATTAGATCCATGTATCATTTAAATGCATTCATATCTGGGCCAACATATTCGTACGTCAGTGGATTTTTTAATAATTTCTTACTGAATGCGCTCAGCATTTGCAACAAAGGCATTCAGCCCTAGGCTTCTCAGCGAGCAGAACAAGCCCACCCACACCCAAATGATTTCGGATAATGGGAAAATCTTTTGAGAAGTGTAATTTTTATCATGGAAATGTTCTTACTGTGACATGAAGTATGGTGCGAAATAAACAAACAACACGTTTAACACCAAAACGCAACATTGCTGATAAGAAATGTCACACAAGTATAGCTTCGGTGGCCCCATACAAAGCCAGGTGAGCGATCGTGTATGAGCTTGCATATTTGAGGTAGTATATCGCGCACAATCTCCAAATCAGCGATTGCAGAAAAAGTTTCCACGCTTGCTGTCATCGAAATTATCACATAATGGCTCCTAAAATAGGCCGACTATTGCTGACACTGGGAAGACATTCTACAAGTCGTGCAGGCCCTGGTAGAACTTTTCAGATAATCATGTTAACGTGCCATGATATAATATGTCATATATGTGTCATGTGTAATATGTCATATATCACGTATATGATATCAACATGGTAATATGTCATGTTATATAAATATGTGGAATTCAGCAGGAAGGAGGCCAACAAAACTATCTATAACTAAGCAGAAATGGAGAATGTTAGGCCGGTGCACGCGTAGCAGGTTTTTGACGTTGACCTGACCCGATCTGGCCGTGACCCGATCTGGCCGTCTTTGACGTTGACCCGATCTGGCCGTGCTGAAAGTTGTAAAAAATGATCATTATTGATGGAGTCTCCGGGCACTTATTCTTATGATATATTTAAGGCCTTTCATGTTTGTTTGATAGTTGGACCTTCCCATTATCATAGTTTTTTCAAGAAGTCGCTAAAATTAGGCTTCTTCCGGTCAATGTATTCCAATTATGCTATTTAAGCTAACAAAGTTGTTTCGGTTTTCATGGACGTACTTTAACCTTTGTGACCTCCATCAACCCCATAATAATCTGGGGTAAATATTCTAAGACCTTTCAGCCTGTCTGGGTTAGCCGCACCTGCCGATATATTTTCTTTCTCGTCCATAACTATATTTTCGTTTCGTCCAGAAGCCGGCCCCCTGCGGCCCGGCGAAGACGGTGCTAGAGACCAGCCTGGCATGGGTCAATGGCCCATTGCTATGATGACCTCTTTTAACTTCCTATTGGTTTACAAGGTCTTTGCCAAATCCGATTTCAAAAATCCGAAAAATTGTCTCCTTTTGTCTGGGAAGCCGCAATTTTTCTTCGCCTCGTATTCGAACGTTAACGCTGGTCTGACACAGACGGTCGCTGACCTGAATTCGCGGATCAAACCGGACATAGTCAAACCTCTTGAACAGGGAACAGCAATACGTTGCCAAAATGAATGTCTCCTTTCCAGCCCCCGAGCTGGCACGCAATGGGAACAGGCCCCGCCCAGAGGGTTTGAAATATACGTCTAGCAGTCTCCGCTTGGTCCATCTGCGTGGTCTAAGGCCGCTCCCTAGAGGGAGGAGACCTCACGGAACAGGGTTAAGGGACAGCACAACTCGTCGATTAGCGCTTCATTTGAATGTTTTGCGCCATCAAGCATCACGATTCATTGAGCCCAGATCAAGCATTTTAGTCCAAAGTGCGGCAAGCTGCGACGGCACGACGAAGGAAATCATGTGTCGACATCATGTCCACGCCTTCAACACGCCATCGTCATCTTTTCAGGTGTACGCCAACAACAAGGCCCTCGTGTCCCGGCACATGAAGGAGTACGCCGAAGGCAAGCACACCTTCACCATGGCAATCAACCAGTTCGCTGACCTCACCAACGAGGAGTTCAGCGCACGGCACGGAGGTCTGAAGGTCGGAAGCACTGTACCTCACACAGCGCACAAGGTAAGATCCGACTGTCTTGGCTCCGCGGGATGTATTAGTACCACGGTTGAAGCGTTCTTCAGACTCTCTCCACGCTGCCTTGTTAGTGGGTACACAAAATTTCGACGGTTTATTTTCTAGCCATCGTCAAGCGTTATGGAGTCCTCAACAGGGCTGAATGGTGATGGTGGTCGGTTTTCAATAGCTGTATGCGTAACAACCAGAGTAGTTATTCTCACTGGCATAGCTGGTTGAGCCGAAATGTTCTAATGCCACTCCAGTGCTCTTGCACTGACCTAGCCGACAGACCAATCCTTTTGTGTTGGAACTGCTATTCATCTCCTGGGCTTTTTCCGGCATAATAAAGCTTGGACTTGATGCCTTGGCTTGGCTTACTACTGAGGTTGATAGCCAATGTCATGTGTGTTGTACCCTTGATCTTTCTAATTTTCCAGCCAGGAAAGAACAGGTAAACGGTCAGCACAGACATCGCATTCAACAACACCACGGAACCACTCGTGTTCCGTTCGATCGTACACGTGTTTCAACTTAACGAACATTGCTACCAGCAAACAAAGGGAATGACTGTGGGATCACCTCTGTCACTTGTGATTGCAAACACCTATATTAAATATTTCAAAGACTTGGCGATGGAAACCACTGTACCTTTCAAGCCATCAGTGTGACTGCGATACGTGGAAGTCTTATTTATCTTCGGGCAACACCATGAATACGTCATGACATTTCTCGACCATATGACCAGTTTGCGACCATCAAACCAGTGCATTAAGAAACGCGAGGGCAACAGGCTACCGTCCGTAGGTGTCAACGTTGAAGGAACCGACCAGTTCAGGGCATCATGGGCATCAGTATGGCGGAAACGAACACCAGCCTGAGCTCCTAGTCACATTCCCGGACATCGTCAATAATGGCATTGTGAGATGTCTTTGAATGCCTTCTGGATGCATCGCGCAAAGGCCACAAACGATGTTGACACAATTAAGAAGAGAGAAAACACATCTCACCGAGGCATTCAACAGGAGCCGGTACCCAAAAGGCGCCACTGACATGCAGCCTTCTGAGCGTGCTGAACAAGCACGATAGTCAAAAGCAAAAACAGCAGCAACGGTACAAATGCGTTACCACAAATGGTTGTCAGAAACGATCAGAGAAAATATGTGGATGCTAGAAGATCAGGACAGTCTTCGGAAACAGCCCAACGTTTCAAAAAGCACCTACCAAGTAAGACTACCGACACAGGACGAGAAACATACGAAAAACTCAATACACAGCATGCCAGATCCTGAGGTGTGACTTGGTGAAGCATGTATTTACGAAAATGAAGGGATATAGTTTTTGACACATTATTAACACAGTGCAACGCTGGAAATGACAAATATTATGAAAGCAGCACACCTGACATTGGCTAGCAAACCCATTAGCATGATTAGCCAAACAGATGTGGGAAAATGCCTAAATATTGAAGAGATTGATAGCACCTAGTTGGAACACAAAAACGTTGCTCTTCTCAGCCACCTTACTGGTAGAGCGCTGTACTGCAATGAGGACACTCCGTTTTGATTCATAGCAATGCCAAAGCTTCTTGCTGCAAAGCTGCCTCAAGCTGCCACCCGTAAGTGGCTGAACGTTAATCACCAACCAGTTATTTTTATGACTGATAACCTGAACAAACAGCCAGCGTCCGGTGCCTGATCAATTAACACGCGCTCGGGTGGGGCTCAAATTGGCCCCTCAAAGGTTTTTCCGGAATGGTTTCCGAACGACCCGGTACAGCCGCGCCAAATTTTGCATAGCTGTAGATAATTGAACAGCGGATCGTCTGGCATCAAACATTTAGATGTACCTTGTAAGTTTGTTGACCTGCAGCGAGTGAAAGTCAGGCTATGGATTCAGCGAAGTCGATTTCTAGGGAATCGTTTAACCTGATGCAACATCGAAGCGTTGGATGAAGCCATACATCTCTGAGATACTTTCCAAGGCAACACGTTTAAATGAGCAAATTTCGTTGACCTAGAGTCAGATATTAAGGTCAGACGAATATAAGAACGAACCTGTTTTATTACTCTAAAGATTACTGTGTGGGATAGTTTCTGGTGCTCATTTCGAATTTACGGATAACAGGTAGCGCATTAGACACCTTTCATATACTTCTTAAAGGTCAGAATAGATCACCGACCTAGAATCATCCAGGTCAATATTTTGTTTTTGAGAACATACCGCGTTGCGTAATTTTTATCGCTTATCCAAATGTAAAACTTAAAGCAGTCTTGTATCATTTTGGTCACCATGATCTTCAAAAGTTCAAACAAGATCGCTGATCTTAGATGCGCGTGTGACCTTTTGCTTAGAAAAATTATCTAGGTTCTACGGGCCCTTTGGAGACCAAACTGGAGTTTGATCTTTTTGATCTTATTTGACCCGAAGGCCATGACAGAGGAATCTCAAACTTTGACCTAAGTGAGTTCAGGTACAGATAAATACACCCCGTGAATTTTGGGTCACCAGTTCTCTTAGTTCCTGAAATTTCAAGGGGGCGGTCCAAATTGACCCCTCACCCGAGCAAAGGGTATCCAGCCGGCCACCCAAGCCCATGTTAGGACTCCTGGTAACACCCAGATAATCAGTTGGCCGACAAGCTGTGTACATGCTTATACACTAGACGAGGACACTAGTCCTAGCCACCGTTCCATCCGTGATCCAGCGACTATAGCGTTTCCCGCCCTGAAACCTTGCATCCTGACCATGCGTGTTACAGTTCTCCTGTTAACCAGCGTCAGCGTTCGCAACTAACGCTGCCGAGGTGTATTTCATTTCGTTCACAAAGAACACGATCGTCAAAACTTACCGCCTCTCGCTAAATGTAGCGGTTCGCGAACACAAACGCGACTGTGTCTCTCACCTTTCGCGAAATTGCTAATATCACCATCCCATCTCCCTGCCGGCTAGGCACCTTTCTTCGTAGAGGTGCTGCGCAAGTTGGCGGCTCCTGAGACTATCGTGCGCTGTCCGGCAGATGTCGGGCAAGACAGCGCCAGCCAGCGTCGACTGGCGCGACCACGGTGCCGTCACCCCGATCCCAAACCAGGGCGCATGCGGCTCCAGCTGGGCCTTCGCGGCCACCGGCTCGCTGGAGGGCGCCTGGAAGCTGTCCGGTCACGAGCTGGTCGAGCTCAGTGTGCAGCAGCTCCTCGACTGCACCGGCCGCTATGGGTGTTACGGATGCCAGGGCGGCTGGATGGACAAGGCTTTCGAGTGAGTCAGGGGACGGTCGCCAGAGGGAGAGTGGCGGGTATTTCATCCTGTGTTGAAGTCCTGGTCTATGTCATTCGGAAACAGGCGCCGGAGGGATGTGGAACCAGCGTTCAAGTTGTGTCAAGAGACACATTTGTTGACGTGGTACGAAAATCACCGGGCTTCCGCCAGCCACTGCAGTCTTGTATCTCCGGCGGATCAGTTAGGTCATTTTCTCACGGTGGTCTTTGCAGGCTATAAAGCCCCTATTCTGACCCCAGCGGCAACTAATTGCAAAAGAGTTCGGACAGAATGAGCAACGATTACGTTGGCTCAAGGCCACATATGGCGACGTAGTCACACGAAGTAAGACGATGCAGCTCATTCACAAAAGGCATTTCACAGATAACTGAGAGATGCCGTTTCGCCGGCAGGTACATCCGTGACAACGGTGGCATACAGTCCGTGTCGTCCTATCCGTACACGGCGAAGAACGGAGACTGCCACTCAGACGCCAGCAAGAACGTGGCCACTCTGAGCAACTGGACGGACGTGCCGCAAGGCAGCGAAGCCGGTCTGCTGGACGGCGTCGCCAACCACGGCCCCGTGTCGGTAGGCATCGACGCCACGCGCTCGTCGTTCCAGATGTACTCGGGCGGAGTATACGACGACCCCCACTGCCATGACAGCCAAGTGGGCCACGGGGCCCTGGTGGTGGGCTACGGCACCGAGGACGGCAAGGACTACTGGCTGGTGAAGAACTGGTGGGGCGCTAGCTGGGGCCTCGACGGTTACATCAAGATGAGCCGCAACAAGAACAACCAGTGTGGTATCGCCGCCGTTGCCTCTTACGCGGTCGTTTAGGGGCCAGCCTCTGTTGAAGTGTCAAGCTTAAATGTGGACACTGACTTCAGGATAATGGGTCCGGCATTTGGTTCGGTAATGTACAGGGAAGGAGTGTTTAAGATGGCTTATTTTCCTGTAAGTAAAAGGCCAGCATCACTTTTTAAATTCACTCGGCATGTAATCACGCTTTGGCTAAAAAGTTTTAAAAGTGGAGCCCGCGCTAGGATCCACATGGGCAGACATCAGAAAATGACGTTGGTATGTTTGAAAGATTTCGAACCAGCGTTTCGACAACAACATAAGGTAAAAAAATGGACAAGATCGTCATGCATATGCACCACAAAATTCCGGCATCGTTTTTATGTTTTAGTATTTTTTCATCCAATGTTCTTAGACGTATATGCTTGGGCGCACGGCGCAATCTTCTTAAGCGAAATACAATATAATGCAATATCTAAGAAACTTATGCTTCCTCCAGTACTACATCTATGTAAGCTATAGATTAAAGAACGCCTTAAAAACACTGAAAGTTTTTGGAACACTTCGGACATTTTTTGTGCATTTTGTTTTTACTGACGACTACAACATATTCAGATTTCCTAAATACCACCCCATTCAGCAATCTGAAATCGCCATGAGTAGAAAAGCAACACCATCAGCCGCGATGATATACAGGCAAATAGCTTAAGAGGCGCAAATTAGCGCAAGATCGAACCTGAATTCTACGCATGATAAGTTGGTAAAACAACAAACATAGGGCACGGCAGTCATCCATCCAGTTTATCCTTTAGGAATAGTAACATCTTGGACACGTTGGCATCACATGATATGGCATTCACATATTCTACAAAACTATACATCAACCCCAAACATTGAGCATGAATTATTCAACATCGATTATCTCATCTGACGTTCACAAATGATAAGTCCTCGGTTCAGAGTTTCGACAGCCTATGAAAGTGTCATCCACACAAGACGCTAGCTTCGGCCTATGTCAAATATCCAGAATCTGCACGAAGCAAACAACAACGAGAAACAGCCTGCACGTTGTCCTCACCTTACAGTGGTCCATCCGTCCCAAAAACACCTAGCATCACCACACCAGCTGCGGCAGCAGCCTAGGTCCCCCTAGCATAATAGATTCTCTGTGTTTTCCATTGTCAACGAGATTACGTGCGCTACACGAAGCTCATCTGAAAACAGAATTCGACATACCACTGGTACGAAACACTAAGTGCTTGGGGCTATGGCTTAAGATGTATGTTCCATTACCTTGTGCTGGGCGTTCCATTACCACCAACGTTGATTCCGAGCGGTGGGGAGCATCCTCTTACTTATTTATTTTTATTTTTTGAAGCCGAGACTTTTCGCATGGTCCAACCAGATCGGTGTTTTAAATTCCTGAAGCTTGATGCGAAAACGAACGGAATTCGTGGTATGCATTTCAAGGTAAAATATCTTGAGAACAAAAGCACGATGAAAAACCAACTGATCCATTCGGCCCACTTGAAGCGTATAGCCCATCTGCGATAACATATATGTCAATGAGGTTCGATCCGTATAACCGTCAATAAGTCGAACCTGGTTACCTTCAGCAAAAGGAAATCAACCCCTTTTGACACACTTTTCTGGTGCGAAATAAGAATCCTTGCAGCTTTTGAGCAAAATGTCACCGACATGGCTTCGAGAAAGAGGTCGTAGAACATGACCTGTCAAGGTTAGAAGCCTCAGAGCTTGGCAAAATGCATTAGCAAGATATAAGCTTATCTAGAGCAAATTTTAGCAGCTTGCTCAAAATCCATCAGACGCTCTCAAGAAAGACTATTTGAGTGGTGACGGGACGGCTTTGATTCCTCCCCTCTTGGGGCAAGGATTAGCACGTCTCCCAGCCATCCTCGAGGTTCAACATACCCTTCCTTCATGAAAATGGATGAAGCTTAAGATTTTGCAGCTGACAATTTTGATACCGAAATGTTGAGCAAGACACCCCACGTCAGAGCTCTATACGCTTTTAGAAGTGCCACCTCATTCTAAATCAAGACACACGCCATAAGATGACTATTCCAGAATCAAGATTAGGCATACTCCGCTCAGGTGAGTTAAAAAGTAGTTGAACTCGCTTTCCCAGGGAACCGGGGCAAAATATCAACGTGCTGAATAACGAAGAGCAAAGTTTCGCGTGCAAGACATCGGCACGAGAAATGTTCATAAACGAAATATCGACAGACACAATATTGACGCCACAAAATATCAACATCGCACGATATCGCTACGCAACCATCGAAAAGCAGTTTAACGCCTCACCAACTATCGGTGTCGAGAAGATCGTCAACGTTAAACATCACTACACGAACTATGGATACGCAAAATTTTAGCAGAAAACAAAATATTTCGGATGTTTTGGGGCACAGGTGACCATGCCTCAGAAAAATCTCGTTTCTGGTCATAGTCTCCCTAAGATCTGACAACATTTTTTGACTCATCCCTTATTGTATTGTTCTCAACATAAACAAAACTCAAAATACTGAGTTTTACATCTCCGTGATGGGAATGAATCTGATTCAGAGTAGAACGCACCAACTCTTTCTTGTTGGTGCAGCACTAGTTAAAGAGCGGTACTGAAGAACACGCGCTCCATGCCGCGGCACCAACCCGCAATCAGTCATAGCAGGCCACTGAGAGATCATACGCAAGCCACTGGCACGCACCACCAGTGATCTCGCCCATTTCAAGCACCTGATTCATACACAAATGTGAAATAAGTGTGATAATACACTTGTACGGCCCGTGGGACTATCAAATCGCAGGTTTTCTCACAATTTCCACACAGGTTTTCTGTTGTAACACCGCATTTCACTGTGACCACATTTCAAAGCACAGTCTAAACGGGAGGTCATGGTAATGCGATTCAAAAGGTTTACTTGTAAGGCACAATTTGTTTGCTCAATATTTGAATTGGTCACAAAGTGTGTGTTAGATATTTAGTAAAGAACATATCCAAAATCACTGTGATATTTCACTAATTTTATAACTTCTGGCTTACCCATAAACCCGTGCAAGGTCATTTGCTCCGGTGCACAATGCGCCAACCGAGCTGTCTGTAAACAATACGTCAGCAGAAGAAGAAAAAAGCGACAGCGTGAGAAAAAGCCACAGATTTGCGGTCGCGTTCTCTTTCTTTTAGGCCCTCTATTTAATATAATATGGAGACTGCCGTTCTTTTTTCGGTGCCGTATTTTTTTGCAGACAGTGGCGTTCCTTTTTTATAGCACCGGCCCCATATCTCCTACCGCAATCCCTGACACTTGTTCGAATGACGAAATGGAAGCCATTGCGTGGATCTTTGGCGACCTTGGCCTTAAAAAGTCAAAGTCACTGATCTCAATGACGTGTTGCTTAAAACAGGTATATAGCGCCACCGCTGCTGCCTGAAGAGGTCTAGGGGCACTTGAAACACCAAGCCTAGATTTGATCTGATTTGACCTTACTCGGCCCAAAGGTCATGATCTTGGAAGCACAAATTTTGACGTGAGTAAATTCACATACAGGTCAATTTATCCTGTCAATTTGGTGTCTCTAGCTATCTTGTTAAATGGAATCTAAAGAGCGGGTCAAATTGACCCCCACTCGAACGAGCGAAAGATATTCGGCTGATCATCCAGCGGCATGCTAAGACCTCATACCAACTTGAACTTGATGCACGCGAACTTGAATAGCTCATGCGCCGCCTATGGGAAAGTCACCCAGACATGTATGGCGTCACATAAACGGCATGCAAACACCCTACCCCATCGGCCGTACCGTGCCCATGATCAAGAAAAGCTTTGCCACTTAAAGGAATGGTCCACGTGAAGACATAGAGGCAAACACCAGATGCAATAAAATAAGATCACTTGTGCCTATCAGTTTTGCTTGGAAGTGCGAAAAATGCTCAAGACAACATAAGCTACCTTTGAAGTAAATATGTTCACCACCGTCACCGTTTGATTGCGTTATGGAACGTCTTTATGACGTCAAAGTGGCTTCCAGGCTGGCCGTCTCAGAATTCCCACTGTAGCGAACGGGCTGATACATTTGTCTTAATTAAGCCCGCCGAGAGATGGCGGTATGTTGCCGCAGCGCGTTTGCGGAACCGAATGTCGTCATGCGCTCGTCTTTCGGTCCTTTCTCTTGATGTTCTTGCATATTTGTCCGTGATTTTATATTGTGCGCTTGCATTGGCATACTTGATTATGGCGCTATGACGATTGATTCGATGCATAGTTTTATGATTGGTGTTGGAAACTTGCACTAAATGCATTAAACTGGTTGAGGGCCAACTAAAATCCGTTGATATAAAAATTGTCACGACACAAGCTAGACGAAAATAATTAGATGATCGTAGTTGTCTGGACCTCGAGCACAACGTGGCTTTAGGCCCTACAAAGGCCAGCGGTGTGAACTGCGCTGCATGGTCTTGGAAAAGGTCTATCTCAGATAAAACCCCCCAGACAACAATGGTACACGCCCTTTAAAGAGGATGTCCGATAGTTGTATGGCGTTTTAAACTGAAATAGCCATCTTGTGGACCTTTTGATGCAGTTCAGGGCCATGTCCTTTTTAAGGCCCCAAATGATCTGGTTCCCGAATTATACGCCTGCAGAAGTGAAAAAGGTTTAGCTGAAGCCTATTTCAAAGTTGCCTCGGCATTAATGACGACATAGAAACATCATGCGATCGCAGTCATACTACGGGCTGCTTTCTGCTTATGGTCAAAACAGCATGGCCGCTGGTACATTCGCAAAAGCGATGATGCGGCACGTATGATACAATGCGCGACAGGTGATTGGCTGTTAGCAAGATTTTGCTGCTGAATGCGTGTCGCGAACGTAAACGTGAGCACTTTCGGGTTGTGCGGCACTCGTCGGGAACGGATCATTTTCCTCATTTCCTGGCTATAGGTCAATGCTATAAAAAACGCCACTGCCTGCAAAAGAGTACGGCACCCAAAAAACGGACACTCTCCCGAAAGTTAAAAAAAAAGAAGACGCGACAGCAAAGCTGTCTTTTCTCCCTTGCCGGCATTTTTTTCTTCTACTGACGCAATTCTTACATCCAGAACGGTTGGCGCCTTGTGCACCGAGCACAAAACCTTGCACGGGTTTATGGGTTAGCAAGGCATTATGAAATTGGGGAAACATTACAACAATTTTAAATATGCATTCCACTAAATATTTCACACATCTTGTACCACAACTTAAAATCTTGAACAAAAAATTGTGTTCTTCAAGTACAATCTCCTGAGCCGCATTACCGTGAACCCCCGTTGGGACTTTGTTTCGAAGGGAGGTCACGATGAAGTGCGGTGTTATGACTGAAAACCTGGGCGGAAATTGCGAAAAAACCTGCAAGTTGATATTTCCGCAAGCTGTGCAAGTGTGAGATTACTTTTTGGACAAAATAGTGTGAATCGGGGGCCTGAAATGTATGTGATCACTGGTGGTGTGTTCCAGTGGCTTGTA